CTACAGTAAATTGTAGTTTCCGTGACTGCACAGAGGAAGGAGACTCACGTTCCATAGGGGCACTGCTGGTTTGGCAGTGTCTATTCCACACTGGCATGGGGACTCTTTTGGGTGGTGCTCAGTGACAGCATAAGGAGCAATGGCCACAAACTAAAATACAAGAAGTTCCACCTCAGCATGAGGAAGAGCTTATTAACATTGAGGGTGACAAAGCACTGCAAGAAGCTGCCCAGGGATGTCGCTCCCCCTCTGGAGGCATCCCAAACCCACCTGGACATGTTCCTGTGTCACCTGCTCCAGATGACCCTGCCTTGCCAGAGGGGCAGATCTGCATGATCTCCAGAGGTCCCTTCCAATCCTAGTGATTCTGTGAACCTGCCATCAAAGTGACTAATGGAGAGATGTACTACATCCCTGAAGAAAATTCCTTAGTACAGGGTGGCTTCAAACATTGCACTGCTTCATGATGTAATGAAGTTTTGTACCAGTGAAGTTAGGGAAAAAAAAAAAAAATTCAAATATAGTCCATGCAAAGTAATATATTTATTAGCATCTTTAAAGAGTGAGAATTACCTTCTCTCTTGTGAAAGAGCAAACTTTGAAAAAAAAGGGACAAGCAGTAATGTGTTTGCAATCATGATTAGTTTTTCTACTCTTCCTTTCATCTCCTATTTCCTTTCAGTGCTGTAGTCTTGTTACCTTGTATTATTTTTAAAGAATTGTATCCTACTTGAAATATGAGAGCCAAAAACCCCAACAAAAACATGTGAAATTTGCTTAAGACTACTAGCAGCAAGTGCAGCAGTTAATATAAGGCTAATATATATTAGATGCTTCTGCCAAGCAGGTGAACTCTAATAGATTTGGTGGAATACTATGCAAGCATTGCACTACAATTTTTCACCTCAGCAAATCTTTAATTTGAAGTAATGTTCTAAAGGCTGATGAGGATTTGGTGTAATAATTTCTTAGGTTGTAGTGTCAGAGCTATCAAACTCAAGCTTATGCATAATCAAATATACTGAGCCTTTTAATCACATCTTAAATAAAATAAGGTTTCCATTTTCTTCTCAGGATTTACTGTTAGGCCATCTATAACTGTACTTACAGGAACAGTGAGTGATGTTTTTTAAGGTAGCTGTCTTTTCACATGATCTATCTGAAAATACTAAAATGAATGTCCACCTATATCCTTTTATTGAATTGTTTTGTTTTCACTTGAAATATCTGCAGATGTAATTTATTGATAAACATATTTCCCATTTATTGTGGTATGCCAAATATGTTTTGAAGAATTTTATCTAAGAACAAATAATTTTAATATATTTTTTAAGGACAATATAAAGAGCAATTTTTTGTGCATTATTTATTTCTGATATGTAGATGTGAAATGGCTGATTACTGTAGGTTTTGCAGAAAATGTTTTATGGGCCCATGTAATAATAAGTGCTAATTATATGTGATGAATGCTGCTGGACAGCATTGGAAGTGGGAGCATATTAAGAATAATCTTGCCAAAAATAGTGAAGAAATAAAAAATGAGTTAGAACTTATTAGTTCAGTGTACAGAACTAACCTTTGAGAATGGAAAGCAGATGGAAGGTTTAAGGTCAATCTGTCTAATCCAAATTTGGGACACCTCTTTTCAGTGTTGTATATGAAAAAAAAGAAATTATTATTTGAAAGAATGGATATAAGGGGTAATGCGAAAATGTCAGGTATGTTTATTGCATTCTTTTCAAGAATGAGTTGTTTTAAACTGAAGTTCAGCAATGCCTCTTGTATGCACTAGGTGGAGTTTCAGCCTTTGCTATGGAAAAGAATATCTCCATCCAGTGCCACTAGCCCCGGAGGATCTAGTTTTGAACTAGTACTTAGCGTTGGAGAGAAGATTCTTTCCCATATTTTCCTTTTCAAATTGGCAGTGTTTTCGTGTGGAGGATTGACACCCACAAATTTAAACACTGATTTTTGTGCATCAAGTTTGCTCATGACTGTTTTTTAGGAGGGTGGTTAGGAGAGTTGCAAACGTGTGTAGTAAATAGTATGTCTACCCTGGAGTGCAGATTTCTGATGGAAGGGGTTAGTTCTTTTAAATTTCAGGTTTTAGAAGGGAAAATTCTATGTTTTCTCCTCCCAGGTTTGCCAGAATGCATGTATTGCTCGTGCAGACCGCTCGTGTGGTCTTTGCTTCTCTGCAGCGCTGCTGTCACTGTCGCAGTCCCAGTCGCAGCCCTGGCCGGGCCGGGGCTCGCAGGGACAGATCTGCTCGTGTCCCGGCACCTGGGGGCAGGAGGGGAATCTTACGAGTGTGGCTGTATTTAACTGAGAGGTCTGCGCTATAAATTACCAGTGTTTTTTAAATTGCAAGAATGCTTCTACATGCTGTGATAAGATGGGGAAGGCGATTTTGCCCAGTGCTATTTGAGGGCTTGTAATTTTTGTGCTCACTGAAAGCACAAACATTTCTGTCTATGTGACAGTTCCCATTCTTCCCACTGTGTGTGATTTATTTGAAGCTAAAATTATGTTAGGTTCAAGACTATGAAATCCTGCATGTTGAAGTTATGTTGGAAATAAGACTTCATCACAAGTGTGACCTTCATTAAATGCTTCTAGAAAAGCAGAAAAAAAATCTGCAAAATTATCTGTGTTTTAAATGTGTTTGATTTTTTTTTCCCTATAAATACCCTAAAGAAACTTTTCAAGAATCAGGTTAGGTCAGGAGTACTCTTCCTGATTCTACTTTTAGAGGAGGGCATAGGAAATCATATTAATTTAGAGGGAACTCTTATTCTGTTTGGTACAGGAGAATAATACTGGTCATCCTGGAGTCCATTGTCTGGGGACAAAATTATGACTGTTAGCCAAGGAAAAAGCTGCCCAAGTGTTTTGGCTGTAGTATGTAGCTTTTGTGATATTTTAACATCTACTGAAAGAAGTGAAAATAGCAAATGCGAACTTTGGGTGATTTTATCTCATTGTCATTCAAGTTGTTTTATATTTGTATACTTACATAATTATATCACATCTGGTCCTTTCATCACTCTGACACATACAAAAGTTTAGAACTCCTTTCAGCTGTATACAGACCTAGTAGAAATATTAAAGCCTTTTAATTGCTACTGGTCAAAGAGGGCAAAAATACTTCTTTCTTGGGTTCTGAAATTTCACTTTGCTGCTTTCTCATGTACTTTCTAGCTTAATTAGCAAAGGTAAAACAGATCTGTTCTTAAATATGTATTTGAATGATGCCCAGGCCTGAAGCATAGACAGTTTTGTCCTTTGAATGTCCTCTAAGGATATCAAATGTACCTTGGAGAGCAAGATGCTTCTTGGGGAGTCTCTCTGTTTTGCCCTCAGTGCTTTGTTCTATATTGTTGCTGTAAGTAGACATGAGTTCTCATAAATGTGAACAGCCCTATAAAAAGATAGGGAAGTTTACTAGGATGGGGCATTCTGCCACTGTTAAATGGGCAAGTGGCACCTCCCTTTCCTGCCCCAGCCCAACAGTTTGAGAATGAGGCAGCTGGTGACTGTCATTTGAGTATGAACCTTGCATCCAAATAACCTTCTACATGAAGCTCTCATTGAAAGATTTTTTTTGGTGAGACTTGACTAGAGAGCAAGGCCCAAATGATCTATTAGATAAAAGCCTGGAGAATGAAAGCAAAATACTGATGACAACTTCTGAAACCTTTTCTGGGGAACTGAGCTAGATGTATGGTGGAGGTAGAAACTACATCTTCCATGTGATTCCATGGAGCTGGCTGCATTTAAAAGAGTGATGAACATTGATGTAAGCCTTTGCATGTCCTAAACCCTGAACTATTGCAAAAAAGGCAGCTTTTTGTAGGACTAGAACTGGAGACATAACTAGATTGAAGGCTGAGCGTAGACATTCAAGGAATATATAGTAAAACTGGTACAATTTTGCCTGTGAACTTAAACAAAAATATATAAAGGGAAGAGAAAGAAAAAAAAAGGAAGCTAAGGCTTAAGAAAAATGAAGATTAAAGAGTGAAGGAGGAAACTTGCAGTGAATTAATACTGTCTACAATCCAAATTTTAAGGTAACACAATAATCAGTTTGAATGTGTTTATGACTGATGTGTTGTATTTGATTCACTGCATTCTGATTTAATCACATTTAACATAATAACTTAATGTTATTATGAAATTAACTTACAAATAGTTGGTGTTGATTTCCTGAACTGCCACATGACTAGGGTGATCAGATACAAAAGCTTTGCAAAGAAGTACATTTTAGAATGTTAAAAAATCTCATTACTATATGCAGAATCACACAACTGGGAAGCTTTAATAATTTTAATAATTCAATAAGTATATAGTGCAAGCTAAATTGTGGGTGTGAAGTGGACAGACACCACCTTATACATTGTGTTATTTTAGTTATAATATGGCTTTAATTTAAAGTTGCTATGAAGTCACTTTTTGAAGTCAGCATCTTCATGTAAGCATTGGTTATAGACTACCATGGACAAAAATTAGCAAATCATTCTGGAGATTTATTAAATTGCTTGTTTGCAAGAGCAGATGGCCATTTCTAAAGTTCCTTATTCTTAGTGAAAGAATTAAAATGGATTAAAAGTTTAATGATTTTTTAATTCATTTTTTTCTGTCATCCTCAAAATATAGTGTTAATTTTCAAAGCTTATATTTTTTAACATTGGGACCTCAGTATTAGAACATTTTCATTTATATAGCTGCGATTTGTTATTTTTCCTTGTATTACAAATAATGAAAAAAAAGACTAAAATTATTCTTGCTTGTATTTTTTTCCAAAACTAGTTACTCCAAGGTTGTACAGACATATTTTATTATATTGTAGCTAAGATATTGTAATTTTAATAGAGTTAAAACTGTAGTCTTTTACCTTTGGAAATGATAACAGTCAGTTGAGCTGTGCTTTCTGAAACCATTTTATACAGTGTTTACAAGCTAACATTTACATTTTACATTTAAATATGTCTGAACAGGTAATGTGGGTATGTAACTTGTGCCGAAAACAACAAGAAATCCTCACGAAATCAGGAGCCTGGTTCTATAACAGCGGGTCACACGCACCACAGCAGCCAGACCAAGAGGGAATTAGAGCTCTGAGGAACGAGGAAGCACCCCAAGAGAAAAAAGCAAAACTGCAGGAGCATCCGCAGTACCAGGGACCACCAGGTGACATATCCACACAAGCTTTGGACAAAAACAGATCTCAAGGGCTCATAAGACAAGACTCAATTAAGAATGGTTCAACAGTAAAGCATCCAGTAGCAAGTGACACATCAGACAGGTAAGAAAGTATTTAATGATTATCCTGGTATGATTTGATGAATTTATGCTACAAATTTGATTTTATCTCTTACAATTTTGTCTTATTTTTATTCTGTGGCCTATAAAATACATAGTGGGAATTTTGAAGAGCGCTGAGAAACCTTTTATTGGTTTCAGATGGTCGTATCCAGTATGTGTTCTTCATTCCTTCTCACTGAAAAAATAGGGGATGAGACAGTCACAGTGTGATGGAGTTTGTCCATGTGCTTGCAACTTTGTCAATTTACAGTAATTGTGCTGTGCAGAATGTTACAGTATTTCTTTTGTGGTCACTGTAGCAAATCCAAAATAGGACTCAAAAAGGCAGATTGATGGAAGATAGCATCTGTTCAGACTACTGAATTAAGACATCTGGTTGTACTTGCAGTAGGTAGTACTGAGAATGGTGAAATCTTTGTGTAATGACTTGAGTCTTTTCAAGGTTTCTCAGTTTCTTGCTGTTAGCTACTGTCATTAGTATAATATATTTTCCTTCTCTGGTTTACATTAGTGTTGCTTGTGTTGTTTGAAACTGTAATTCTATCAGTGCTAATGTAATTTAGAGTAGGTTTAGCCAGAGACTGGTGCAGGAACTTGCCTCCCTTTTTCTTGATGTGATTATTCCAAAAGGCACCAGACAACTCTTAAACCCAGTGGCTAGGTTTTACAGGAACACAGAAATAAAAATGGTTTCATTGAATGAATAAGTTTTGCATCAATAACACTGCTATAGAACTTTAAATATGGTTGGAAGGGAAAGATGAGAGTGCGGTTGCTCAGGTGTTTCCATGGAGATGATATCCTCACACGCGTATGAGAGACCTCCAACTGCCTTGGAATTTGGCAGCCAGAGCAGTATAATCTGGCAGCTTTTCTCTGCTGCCCAGATATGACATCATTAACAGCATTTATTCTGTGAGCTTGAAACAAGTTAGACATATATAGTCTCTTTTACATTTAGTATAAGGAAAATAGTTTCCATTTTTCTTCACATCTTGTATTCCCTCATATTTTATTTCCTATATTTGATCTTGCATGAGAGCAAACTGAACGTAATGAATTGAGCCTTTTTTGTTTAACTTATTCTGCCTGATGTTTGCTGTGATTTTGGCTGTTGGGTTCAGTACTTAGTTGTCCTGAGTGCTCCTCAGTTATATGTACAGTGTTTGAAAAGCACAGCTGGCACCCTAACCTGATGTTAGGGAGCAGGAGTGACAGACTGATTCTCTTGTGGTTCCTTTTTTGCCACTGATTTTGCCTGGAAATTGGTATCATAGATAACATGACAATAAAAAAATCCCAAACCCTTGTTAGCAGCAGCATTTTAACTCTAAAACTGTTTTTATATTATATGCATGCAGAATATGGAGGAAGAGAGTGATATATAAATAAATGCATAATTGAGATACTCAATATGCATTTACACTAAGTAGACTTAAACAATAAACATGGACAGTATAAAGTAATATTTTCCAACAGCAAGAATGTAGGCTTTGTGCCTGAAATCAGAACTATTTTGCTGATTGTGATCACTTCTACTTGATATGTTATTTAAGTTCAGATAGTTTCTTCAGTCATTAGCTTCTTCGTGTTTTATTTGGATAACAATACTGATGTTCCCTAATTAACATGTACAAGTATGCTTTGCATATTATATATATTATATTCTACCGAAGGATAGAGGGTCTTATGAATAATTTTATTCCCTCATGTTCCTCACATAGACTATTTTTTCTGGATCTAATGAAAAATATTCTTTTGTGATGCCCATTGTGATCCCCATCCATTTTACTCGTCAAATAGACTTTTAGAGAAGAATATCAACAGCTCTGAGAAAGACTACCCCAGAATTCAACTAGGTACCTTCAGAAATTGAGCAACTAGCTAGTATGTTAGACCATTTGTCTACATGAAGAGAAAAACATGTCCATTCAAAATATCCAAAATAATAAGGAAATAGACAAAAAAGTCAGAAGTATTTAGAAGTGGCTGTTGCTTGCCTTGCACAATCACAATAGTAGTAAGTAGAAAGTGAGAACTATATTTTCTGTCTTATTTTTCATCAGAAGGACATTAGTTTTGACACAAAATATTTTAAAATGTTAAAACCAATAGCCACTTGTCAAAAGAAAGATATTGCTAGGACTTTATATATTTGGGTTATGATTTGAATAGAAAGGTAAAATGTATTATTTTTGTCAAAGGTTTTTAGTTCTTTTTGTAGCATCCATGGGTGTTGTAGCAATCGTTGCTTAGAAGTTCTTTAAATCAAGTATCATATATCTTATCTTGGTCATCTGGAGACATGTTGGTCACAGAGTAAAGGGCAACATTCAGTCCTTTAATCTCAAGATCATCAATGTCCTTTCTGTCTCATTCCTTACCGTGTCTTTTGGTTGTGCGTTTTTTGTTTTTCCATCCTTGAGTAGGATAGAAAGTAGAACAGATGAGTAGGACTCACCATAATTTTTTCCTGTTTTCTTTATTAGTATTATTCTTCATTAAAATTTTATCGTTTCAACCATTAGACTAGTATTCTGTTTCCTTGATGTAAGCAACAGTCCCATTTACAATTGATAGATCCCAGCCTGTTTAGACAGATAGATAGGTACTTGTTTATAGATCTTCTCTGGCTGATCTGTAATTCTCCAATAACATGTTTTTATGTTCGGAAGTAAGTTGTACTTAACAAGAGCAGAACAGTTTTTCATTACTTTTTTTCCTAGTTCATATAATAGAATCATAGCATGACTTAGACTACAACCTTAAAATCATCTAGATCCACCTCACTTGCCATGGGCAAGGACATCTTCCACTGGACCATTGCTCAAAGCTCCATCCAGCCTGGCATTGAATATTTCCAGAGATGTCCTGGATATCTCTGGAATATCCATCCAGAGCTTTTCTGGATAACCTGTTCCTGTGCTGCACTACCCTCACAGTAAAGATTTCCTTCCTTATATCTAGCCTAAATCTACCGTCTTTCAGTTTAAATTTTTTACCACAGTATTTACAATCTGCCCTATGGTGCTTTTACTGCTTTTTATATAGTAAACCTGTGGGTAGGGCAGGGGCAGCAGGCACACGTGTATGATTCACTAAATGACCATGGTGTATTTGACATTATTTGAGGTGAGACCAATGTAATTTGTCCCACATGGAGGTTTTGTGCTAAGCCCAGTTGAACTATGATCATATGTAGTGGTTGCACAGACTTAACCTTGTGTGCAGGGTGTATGAATGCTGATACAGTGTAATATTAGATTCCTTGAAAACTGCAGAATGATGTGAATCCAAGAAACGCAAAATATTATTTTAAGTAAAACATAGACTCAGAAGGTCTATTCTGAGGTCTGCTGAACACAGATGGTAGATTTGTAGTTGCAGTTCTTTGATTTGCAGATTCACATTAATTCTGGATTAGGCAAAGAGGTATGATTTTATTTTATTTTCATCAAGATCTTTCATGTAGTCTATTGTTCCCAAGATCTACACTACTCATCATACAATATGTGTTTTATTTCTAGCAGAAAAATCATTTGAACAGACATAATCTTTTTTTCCCAGTCATTCTGCAGAAGGCAATCAGCTTGTGAAATTTCTTCATTCCAAGCCCATGTTTATATTGTCCTATTAAAATGTGTACAACGTCCTAAAATTAAAATCTTGGAAGCAAGGAACCCAGTGCTGATATGAAGCTTTTTTCATTTGTCATTCCCTTTGCCTGAATTGTTAGATCTTTATGTGGTGTTGCCATGCTTAGCTTTTAAAATAATTATTTTTCTTGCTCTCAATAGGATCCACTGTAAAGCCATTTCAGTAACTTTCCACATATGAACTCAGTGTTTTAAACTGTAAATATTTTGTGACTTTTCAGAGGTGTTGCTTCACAAACCTTTATTTTGTACACATACATAGCTCTCTAAAAGTAGTAAACGACTCATGCATCTTCCCAAATCAAGGTTACAATGACACAGCTATTAATATATATCTGAAACGGTGTTGTGTATTTCAGGTAGATGTGAATTTTTGAGGGTTTTAGAAATTATTATTTTCCCTGATCTGTATTTTATGAATCCAAAATATTCTTCAAAATTTGAAAATGATGACTTTAATTTACAATATATGTTTTTCAGGCATTATATTAGTGGAAGAAAAACTTCCTCAAGGGTATTTTTCATGAGATTCAATAAAAAAAAGAAAGTGAAAAATATTGTGAGAATGTTCATTTTCATGTGTTATGAGTCAATTTATACCAATTATATCTATCAGAGGTTGAGCTTTGTCACAAAGAGAGAATTGATTCTTGGTATAGGAAAAGATCACGATCTATAAGCTCATGATCTGAAGGAAGACTAATAAATAAAGCTGCCTGAACCCTTTCCAGATTAACTGTAAGGATATGAGATTAAATCATAAAAACCAGAACGAAAACAACAAATTGAGAGAGTGAGCAGCTGCAGAGTTGCACAACAGCGGTATTTATTTTCCAGGCCAGCAGGCACAGTAAAGATATATCCTACTTCCCTCTCCCTTGTTTTCTCCTTTCAGATATACATATGTATTTGGGGGCTTATTTTCTACCAACCCTCTTCAGAAAAAAAAGAGGATATTTAGGGTGGTTTCCACATGTTATGTAGGAGCCTTGGAGAATGCATATTATTCTGAGTAAGAAATGCAAACAAGAGGCTACTTGGGTCTGAAGATACAGGATTTGTGTTTGTTTTCTTTATGAAATGTATACATGTGCTTCCTACATATAGAGGCTTTATTCTGTTGTGTCACCAAATAGCAGTAGCAGTGAAAGTGGTTTTCTGCATCCCTTTCCTCCCAGTCTTGGGAGGAATGCCAGTATGAGCTGGCAGTGTAGGATCTGTCTTTTGGGACTGCAGTTGGGGATGTCAGGGTGTGAACAGGGAGGAAAAAGGAGACCAAACCAAGAGAGAAAAGGAGGAGACAGGAAAAAGCAGGCATAAGTGA